ACTCAATAAAAATATCGAACACTGATAAATTAAAAAAATTATTTTTCATAAAGGAGAACTGAGATTGATTTTCCTCATTAACAATCTCCTTAGTCAGAGTTAGTTGTAGTGCGATTTATATTAATTTACGAGCTATTACACAGTGAACAAGTTATCCGGTACCCATCCGATCCAAAGAATAGTCGCTGTCATTACTAGAAGTCCGGAAAAAAGCGACCAAAGTTGGTCGCTTATTGACCAAAAAGCGACCAAAAAAGACCAAACAGGCCTGGTCGATATTAAGCTGGTCCCTTTACCTTAGGGACCAAAGTTGGTCGCCAATTAGCGACCAACTTTGGTCTCTAAGGTAAAAGGACCAAATTTTTCGGGTAAAGAAAATAGCGACCAACTTTGGTCGCAATAATATTTTAATAATATAATTTTGGCAACCAAAGTTGGTCTCCACATGTAAATTACGTTTAATTTTTATTTATTACTAATCATAAAAAAAGCGACCAACTTTGGTCTGTAAAGAAAATATTATATTTTAAAATCTGAAAAATAGAGACCAAAGTTGGTCGCTTTACTATAAATTTTTTTAATTTTTTTTTAAAAATAAGCGACCAAAGTTGGTCGCTAACTTCAAGAATTAATTTTTTTTTAAATATGTAGCAACCAACTTTGGTCGCTATATTTCCAGAAATTGTTGTTTTTTTTAATGAAATAGCGATCAAAGTTGGTCGCTTTTGAGAAATCTGGGTTAAATAGCGACCAACCTTGGTCATTATTCCCCAGAAAATTGTTTGTTTTTAAGGGAAAAGCGACCAACTGGCGACCAAAGTTGGTCGCTTTTCTTGGTATATTTTTGGCAGAAACTGCCTGTTTTGGCAGCTACACCACCTGCCAGCTTACCAAAATTCCTAAACAGGCATTTTATTCCAACAACAACAACAACAATAAAAAGAAACAACAATAACAACAACAACAACAACAACAACAACAGCAAAATTATAACCAACAAAGTATAAAGTTCAATAGAACTTTATACTTTAAGCTAACCAAACTAAGTTAACTGTTATTACAAGCCCATTCGAAAATCGATTGTATTTGTCTAGTTCAAAGTGTATAAAAGTCAAGGATTGTTTTGTACATCATTATCATCATCGTCTGATGAACTTTCATCACCAAGAGTATCCAGAAGGGTGTACTTGTCGAGGATGGGAAGAACGATCACGGGGAGGACGGGAGGACGAGCACGGGGAAGGCGAGCCTCTGGCGATGACTCACGAGACCGGGGAATCGGAAAACTGCCAGAAGCTAGGAGAGATTTGATCTGCTCTTGCATGCCAATGTACTGAGCATCTCTAAGCTTTTCTCTTTCCTTGGCGGCTTCTAGCTCGGATGTGAGCTTTGTCACAGTCTCCCGCATAGAGGAGAGGCTCTCCCCATCAAGTGGCTCGGCTTGCGAGGAAGTCTCTATTCCTTGCATTCCACACTTATAGCGATGTAATTTCTTAGTAGGAAGCCTGTATACCTTCCCCATTTTGGACCGCCAGCAGCCTGCGTCCACATTTTTTCAGCATCCTCGTCCGATAGTTGGATTGGCTCGCCCGACTCATTAGGTGGATGACTGCGTATGAATTCCTCCACTTCAGCTGTGAAGCGACCCTATAAGAAAAATTACATTGGATTAGTATTTCAAAATTTATATAAAAGTAAATCAAAATACTTAATGAAAAATGAAAACTTACATGTATAGTCGAGGCTCGGCCCTCGACCCACCTTTCTTGATCCGTCTCTTTCTTCTTCTTTACAATATGAGTCTCCTTGAATAGCTCATCTTGGTTCATCGGACGCCCCAACTTCTTTTCCTGAAAACTCATAAATTTTAGTTAATAAACAGAATAGATATACTTTAAAAATTAAAATAAATTAAGCAATTACGTACCATTCTTCTTTTTATTGTCCCTAGGCTGATCGCACCTCCATTGTGCAAGGATCCTCCCTTCTCAGATGCACGAGCTTTCTTTCCTTTTTCGCTCTTCTGTAAGATCTCTGCGGTAAGCCATTGCCTTTGCAAATCCTCCCATAAATTCTGAAGCAACCAGCCAGGCTTCTGGTTCAACTTTCTAGCTTCGGAGAAACAATGCGACAACCGCTTGCGAGCTTTGAGATGAAAATTTGCAGCCACATCCGCGCTATAGCAGTGTTCCCATACACACTTGCTCTGTATTTCAAAAATTAAGTATTATATGGAAATATCATATTTAGATGGAAATATCATAAAAGCTATATTCGATATATTATACTTAGCTTTTATTAGCTAATAATTATTCAAAAGTTTTTTTTTTGGTGTAAAGAAAAAATATTATTAATCTCAACCAACAAAATATACAATTTCTGTAATCTGTACAAACTAGAAGCAGAATTCTTCTAGTCGCAAAATCCCTATATAGCTTCCTCTATGATATACTAGAAAACAACACCTCTATCCATTTCCTTCTACCATTCCCCTCTTTCCTACTATTTTGTGTATTCATTCGTATTTTGCATTCCTGCTGAATTTGTCGACATATCACCTGCGGTTTGACAACTTTATTATTCCATATCGCATCATTTCTGACTTGCCATATTTTGTATACTAATGCTGCCATTGCTGCACTTACAATTCTCCTGCACATTTTTCCTCTTACTTTCCTCGTCAGTTATCTCCATATACCAGCAATATCAGGTTCTTTTATCTTCAATCCCAGCCATTCCAGTAATATTCCCAAACATTACTTTGAGAATTGACACTCAAAATACAGATGTTGTATTGTTTCTTTGCTTCCTCCACAGATCTCACATCTTGTTTCTGAGCATACACCTATTCTTTCCAATCTTTCCCTCGTTAGTAGCCTTTTATGAACTGCTAACCAACTAATGAAACTATGATTTGGGACATTAACAGGGTTCCATATCCATCTAGCCCATGGCCATTCATTCAACTCCCATTTCCTCCATTGGTATCTTTTTTGTATGGAATACCTCCCTCCAATATGCTGCCAGTCATTTCCTCTATATCCACCCTTAAACTTTTCCTTTACATCGCAAATTCTCTTCAGTACCAACTACAGTCATTAGATGGTACATATTGATCCCAGCTGTCTTCTTTAATATACACATGGTTCACCCATTTCACCCACAGATTATCAGCCTTTTGAGCTACATTCCACACATACTTTGCAATAGCAGCCTCGTTCGATATTAAACAGTCTCTTATCCCTAGCCCTCCTTTACATTTTGGTCTGCAAACTATATCCCATGCTATCAAAGGGGCTTTGTTTGTGTGTTTCTTTCCATCCCATAAGTAATTTCTGCATATTGCGACCAGCTTTTTTATCACAGCTTTGGGCAGTATAAAGATGGATGACCAGTAAGTATGAACCTGCAGCAACACGGCATTTATTAATTGTACCCTTCCAGCATACCACATGTTCCTCGAGCTCCATGTCCTTATTCTGACTGTCATCTTGTCTATTAAGACTTCACAATCCATACTAGATAGCTTCTTTGCTGAAATTGGAACCCCCAAATATCTGAATGGCAATGTCCCTTTCTGATATCCTGTAGCTTCACATAAATCTTCCAATTCTTGCTTTTGCATGTTGGCACTGAATATGTTAGACTTTCCTGCATTAGTAGTCAGCCCTGATGCATTTGTAAAAGTTTGCAAACCTCTCAACATCAGCATTACTGATTGGTAGTTTCCTTTACAGAATAACAGAATGTCATCTGCAAAACATAAGTGATTGAGCTTGATCCCCCTACATTTTGTATGATATCCAAACTCCCTCATATCAGCCACTTTGTTCAGAACTCTAGTTAGGTACTTCATACAGATTACAAAGAGTAGGGGTGAAATGGGATCCCATTGTCTTAGCCTTCTTTTCCCTGTTATGTTCCCATACAGTCCTCCATTTATTGCAATACTATATTTGGTGGTTGTTATGCAGGCCATTATCCACTTAATGAATCTCTGAGGGAAATTCATTGCATGCAGCATCTCATCCACAAACGACCACTTTACACTATCATATGCTTTTCTCAAGTCAATCTTAATTAAGTAACTCTGAGTAGTGTTCTTTCTCTTGTACAGTCTTACCAGATCTTGACATATCAGTATATTTTGTACTATTGTTCTTCCTGCTATGAATGCACTCTGATTATCTGAAATCAAACTAGGTAGTACCCCTCTCAATCTGTTGCACGACATCTTCGATATCACTTTGTAAATTGTATTACATCCTGCAATAGGTCTGTAATCTCCTACATTAGTTGCATGTGAACTCTTTGGGATAATTGTGATTACTGTATGGTTCAGAACTTTCAGCATCTCCCCTGTTCAGAAAATTCCATTACTGCATCTACTACATCTTTCCCTGTGATCTCCCAGCTATCCTTGAAGAACTTACTTCCATAACCATCTGGCCCTGGTGATTTGTCTCCATTGATTGCCCATAGAGCTGGTTTTACCTCCTTTTCTGTGAATTCCTCCTCTAGCATTCTTCTTTGTCTTTCTGTAACTGTTGGCCCTTGTTGTATTAACCTGCTATTGACATGATCCCTTTGTCTGTTGCTGTTGCCCAGTAGGTTAGTATAAAACTCAGTAAAGGCTTCTGCAATTTCCTCCATTTTTGTTCTTTGAATTCCTTCTGCATCTGTTATTGAAAACACCCTGTTCATGTTCCTTCTTGCTTTCATCATACTGTGAAAATATTTGGTATTGAGATCCCCTTGCTCCAGCCATTGCACTTTGTTTTTCTGTCTCAAAAATTGATTCCTTGCCTCCTTTAATCTCTTTGTTTTCCTGATTAGTCTAGCTTTTTCCTTCTGTAGGTCCACATTCAGTGGTGTTTGTTGCATCCTCTGTTGACATTGCATTAGCTCCTCACATGCTTGATTAGCTTTTTTCTCTATTTGGCTAAATTTCTCCTTGTTCAACTGCATTAGTTTCCCCTTCAGATTATTTAACTTCCCCACTAGTCATACATTTTGGTCTCCCTCTTATTAGTGTTCCATCCTTGCTTCATTGTCTCCTTATAACTTGGTGCAATGCTCCACATATTAAAATATCTGAATATGTGTTGCTTCTTGTGAATTTCAGCCAATCTGATTATTGCAGGGCAATGGTCATAGGTCCCCTCACTTCTGTAAAACACCTCTGAGTCTGGCATTGTTAATATCCAGTCATTGTTGATTAGTACTCTATCAATTCTGCTGTACACTCTATCTGTACCTCCCTGCTTATTGTTCCAAGTATAGAATGCCCCAGAAGATTTCATTTCTTCTAGTATACATTTTGTCACACATTCCTTAAACTCTCTTATTTCTGCCATTGTAATTGGACTCCCAATCATGTCCTCTTTATGCAAGACACAATTGAAGTCCCCCATTATTGCCCAGGGTTCAGCCATCTGATCATTTATCTCCTTAATATCTTCCCAAAGTTTCCTTCTTAGAGCAGCATCATTGAATGCATACACCATTGTTACTGAGAATTTCCTGCCATCTCCCCTATGATGAACTCTATAGTGGATTAACTGTTCTGTTACTTTACAAATACTTATGTCATATACCATCGGTTTCCATAATAGCCATATTCTTCCTCCATTATACTGACTTAAATTTGTACTATAACTCCATCCATTGCATAGGTTAAGAGCAGCCTTTTGAGCTTTAGCTCTCTTAACCTTTGTTTCCAAGAGGCCAAATAATCTAACCTGGGAATTATGCATAAACAGATTTATATCCTTCTGTCTATCTGGATTATTTAGCCCCTGGTATTCCAAAATCCAATTTTATCCATTCTTTGGTGGGCTTCCCCCACCCTTGTCTTCTTCAATCCTTTTTTTCCCTACCATTCCCTTTTCCATTGTTACCACCTGGAGTCCTGACTGACTTGTACTTGCCAGATCTTCTGCTTGTTGTTGCCCCAGTGTATCAAAAGTATTTCCTATCTTCAATGGTACTTCTTGACTATCATTGCTTTCCTCACGTATTTCCCCCCTCTAACTCCATAGTTTTGTTCTGGATTCTTGCCCCTTTCTGTTTGCTTGTTATTCCCCTGCTTTTCTTGCTGTTGTTGTTATGTTCCTTCCTGCTGTGCTTGATTATTCTGGCTGTGTACCTTTTCTTTTTGTTGTACTTCCTGCTTCTGTATTGTTTGTTGTTTCTCTTTTTCCTCCTGTATATATCTCCTACACTCATATATGTCATGTCCATAGTTCTTACATTTTCCACATAGCACTGGTTTCCATTCATAATGAATCTCCTGTTCAATTATTTTTCCTATCTCATTCTCAAATCTTATGCTTGTTGGATACTGCTGATTCAATTTTACCTCAACTAGTACTCTTGCATAGATCAGTCTATCTCTGTTAGTGGTAGCTGCATCTGCCTTTAATGGTTGTCCAATCAACCCCGCAATTTTTGTAAGTGCAGCTTGCCCCCAATATTTAATGTCAAGTCCTACCAATCTCACCCAAATTGAAATGTTCTTCATCTGCTCCTTTGTGATTTCCATATCTGGCTTCCATGGCTTAACTATCACTGGTTTTCTATCAAACATTTGCACTCCTTCTTCCACTGCTTTACTTCTACTCTCAATACTGTGAAATCTCACAAGGAACACTCCCCTATTGAGTTGTGCTACCTTGTCTATCCCCATAGCTCCCCAAATTCTCCTGAAATACCCATCAATTACTACTTGTGGTGGATTCGATCCTAGAACATAACATACAACAGCTGTTGTCCAGTAATCTACCTCATCCTTGATATCCGCCATTGTTATTTTTACATTTTGCTCTGTAACTTCTGAAATTAGGTCTAAACCTTCCTCCATCGGTATTGTACCCATAATATTACTCCATGTTTTAGGACTTGAGTCTAGGGTTTTAGTCAAACCTGTACTTTTGCTCATCTTTTCTTCCTCATCAGCTCGATCTGCCCACGACGCCCTACTCGCCATTGTTATTTCCTCGCTCGTTCCCTTTGGTGTGGTAGGATTTGAAATCTGATTGACATCCAAAGGTATTATTCCTTGGATCGAATTAATGCTTTTTAATTTCTTCGCATCTGCTGACTGTGGAACTCCTATGCACACTGAATTCGATGTCTGACTTCCATGGATCTGCTGACTTCCGCCTCTGTTCCTCGATTTTCTCGCCATTTCAGCTGTTGCTGAGGGAAAATCGCATTCTAGAGAGAGAAAGTCTTTTAAGTAGTATAATTGAATATATATAATTGAATATATAAATATTCAAAGTTAAGTGCATTAACTGCTTATAATATAGTATATAGTATATTAGTGCATTAGCTAATATATATATATATATATATATATATATATATATGCAATAAGTATTAGTTCATTAGCTAATATTATATCGAATATAATATTAGCTAATAAAAGCTAAGTATTAATGCACTTAACTTTTGAATAATTATGTATTAACGCACTAAGCTTTTATCGAATATATATAAAAGCTATATTCGATATATATAAGCCAAATTCGATATAATATTAGCTAAATTCGATATAATTCGATATATATAAGCTAAGCTATATTCTATAATACATATTTAGATGGAAATATCATAAATATAAATAATTATACTGCTTAAAAGAATATTTATACCTTAAATTGATTGAAGATTTGCTCCTTCAGCGAGAATGGGAATTCACTCCAAGTCGCATAAGGGCCATCATAAAGCTTTCTGGTGGCTTTGGTGATTATCCTTGTAGTAATATTACTAGGGATGAACCTGCAATTTAATATAAAAAAACACATTAGTATCTTAGTAAAACTGTACAAATCAATAAAAGTAAAAATAACAAATAACTCTTACCCATCACCCTCAGGGACTGTGATGATCCTGCCATATTCATCATAATGCACCTCCTCGTTATCATCAGCATCACCGTCTGAAGCATGTATATCAGAGGCATGTGTGGAAGGTGTAGGGGGGTCAAAGCTAGTATCTCGCAGGCGAAGGCCTGAAATAGATGGAGTCCCAGATGAAGATGGTTGCGAGCCCTGTGACTGCGACATAGCTGTATGGCCGCAAGTGGATGTGACACTGATAGCTGTGACCCGAGTGGTTGTGACCCGAGTGGCGGTGACACTGATGGTTGTGTTCCATGTGGATGTGACATGGATCGATGCGATCCATGCGATGCAGATGGCTGCGATCCACGTGGTCGTGAGACAGGTGGATTGTATGTCGGACGTACAGTCGTATGGCCCTGTGACGAAAGACCTGGTGTCTGCACGAAGGTGTAGGGCTGGTGATGCTGTGGCAGCTCAGAATAGCCCTGGGGTGGAAGCAAAGACATAGGCATAGGCACAGGCATCTCTGAAGAGGCAGGAAAAGATTGAGTATTATCTTCTATCCTCCTCTTTGGTTTCCTAGCCTTTTCTCGACCTCGAAAACCAGTAGGATCATTGTTATCTCGGCCCTTGCCTGTCATCTGCATAAAATAATACATATTTAGACTGAAACATATAAAGAAACTAGCTATAAATGAGAGTTATTAAAGAAACCAACTTTTTAAAGCTCATCGACGTATAGTTCCTCGTCCGAGAATTCTTCTTCCTCACTAGTTTGAGCTTCATCAGTTGATTCTTCTTCCTCGTTTTCTATAATTCTTACTTCATTTATATCAACTTCTTCCAATATATGTTCAGGATGTTCCAAATCATTTTCTAAAACTTCATCCACTATTTGGTGAACACTGGAGATATCGTTTTGATATGCAACATCTAACACATTCTTGACTTCCACCCTACCCACAGGCTTAGTTTTTATTACAACCCACCAATCGGACCTATTCCGCCGCAATGGATAAGGAGCATATGTCACGACCTGGATTTCCCACCCTCGGGAGTCGTGATGTCGCCTACTAATGGGAGCTAGGCAGGCCAATTTAATCTACCTTTTCGCAACAATTACCAACCATTTAATAAAATCAAACATAATGACATAAAGCGGAAGTCTTAAAAACATAGATAACTGAAAACCAAATGCGGAAGTTTAAATACAACTCTACCCAGATCTGGTGTCACTAACTCACGAACTACTAAAGAGTGCTAGAAACAAGTCTGAATAGAAGTACATCAATGTTTGTCTCGGTACAAGGAAAAAAAACTAATAACATAGAAGGGACTCCGGCCTGCGAACGTCAGCTAGGCTGCCTCGAAAGTCCCTGGACTGAAGTCAGCTCCCGATCAAACCCTACTGCTGAGGCCCAAAAGCTGCTCCTGGATCTGTGCAAAAAGATGCACCGAGTGTAGCATCAGCACAACCGACCCCATGTGCTGGTAAGTGCCTGGCCTAACCCCGGCAAAGTAGTGACGAGGCTGGACAGGACCTACCAAAAACAACCTGTGCAGATATATATGTATATACAAGTGCAACGAGATAACAGCAGAAAATACCAATTAAGGCGGGAAGGGGACATGCTTAGGGAAAATACAAATGAAAACAACTTATCAGAAGTAAACACGAAACTACATCAGATCTCTTAATCTATATAAGTGGTCGGCGTGCCACACGATCCCATTTCATAATATATAAGTGGTCGGCGTGCCACACGATCCCATTTCATAATATATAAGTGGTCGGCGTGCCACAGATCCCATTTCATAATATATAAGTGGTTTCATAATATATAAGTGGTTTCCCGGCAAGGGAGAATACGACTAAGCAGTTAAATCCCGGCAAGGGAGCAACAACAATAACTTACACGTCCCGGCAAGGGAATAATCACATTTCTTTCTCTTACGTTCATTTCTTACTTTTTAATCAAGTCAAAAATCGAGCCAACGCTCCAAAGAGTGTACACATCATATTTCCTTCTCATTCTCTTCATATCATATAGAAACCATCAATTAACAAGGAAGAGTCACTACCGAATCCCAATTAAGCACAAATAAAGACCCACGGTCATGCTAGACACCGGTGTATAGATACTCGTCACCATGCCTATACACCATACCCAACATTTAGCAATTAGCAAATAATACTCTAATCATATTCCCTCAAGCCAAAGTTAGATCAAACACTTACCTCAAATGCTCCAAAATCAACTCAAGCCTCTAGTATAGCTTTACCCCTCGAATTCGGCTCCAACTCAGTCAAATCTATGAAATAACGACTTTACAATATTAATAATAGCTAAACAAACTAAACCCAATGCCTAAATATGAATTTCTAAGCTTTCTTCCCAAAATTCCAAAAAATCGACCCCGGGCCCGCTTGGTCAAAACACGAGGCTCGAACCAATTCCATGTTACCCATTCCCCCACGAGCCCGGATATACAATTTATTTTCAAATTCGACCCCAAAACGAGGTCTAAATCAAGGAAAATTGAAAAACCCTAACTCTACCATTTTCCCCCAATTTCAACCCTAGATTATATAATTTAGGCTTAGAAACTTACTAATTAATGAAGGAAAAGTGAAAGAAATGAGTGGGAAATTACTTACTCAAGTGGTCTTGAAGGATGAGGGCTTCAATGGAGTCCTAGAGCTTGGGGAGGAAGAGAGCTCGTGAGAAAATTAGGAATAAAACCGTCACTGTTCTGTTTTTGAACTTTAAAAATCACTGGGCAAAAATGCCCTTCGCGTTCGCGGGAAGGGGGCCGCGTTCGCGAAGGGTAATCTGGGCAAGTAATCGCGATCGCGTGGAGGCAAACGCGAACGCGTAGAAGAAAAGTGCTAAGGTCCGGAGTTTGGTCTATGCGAACGCGATACGGGGTTCGCGAACGCGATGAAGGGAGGATTAAAGCTACGCGAACGCGGGGACTGAGCCGCGAACGCGAAGAAGGGAAAGCCCAAAGGTACGCGAACGCGGGCTGAAGGCCGCGATCGCGAAGAAGGAAAAAGCTGTGCAAAAATTGCAGAAAATCTGCTACAATCTCCTAAGTTCAAAACACCCCGGAACACCTCCGAAACACTCCCGAGCCCTCGAGGCTCCTAACCAAACTCACACACTAACTAAACAACCTCATACGAACTTAACTGACCGATCAAATCGCCAAAACAACATCATAAATGAGGAATCAAACCACAAAATCATCATTTTTCATTCTAACTTCTTAAACTTCCAATTTTAGATATTTATGTCCGAAACACGTCAAACGACGCCCGATTTCAACCAAATTTCACAGAAAGCGCTTAAACCACATATAAGACCTGTACCGGGCGCCAGAACCAAAATATGGGCCCGATACCAACACGTTCTAATCAATTTCCTTTTCAAATTTCCATACTAATTTCTGAAAAATAATTTCACAGAAAAATTCATTTCTCGGGCTCAGGACCTCGGAATTCGATTCCGGGCATACGCCCGAGTCCCATATTTTTCTACGGACCCTTCGGGACCGTCCAATCACGGGTCCGGGTCCGTTTACCCAAAATGTGGACCCAAGTCAACTTTAATTATTTTAAAGCCACATTTTAAAATTTTTCACAGAATTTAACATATAAGCTTTCCGGCTATGCGCCCGGACTGTGCACGCAAATCGAGGCAAGTAAAAATGAGGTTTTCAAGGCCTCGGAAGCACGGAATGAAAGAGAAAACAGGTGATGACCCTTTGGGTCGTCACAGCATAATACACTTGCCTAACATTATGTGCAATTATGAAAGGATCATAGCGATCATACTCCCTCGTATGATTAACCTCAATTATGTTGTATTGATTGTGTACTCTTATACCTATTGTTGGATGTGGGTCAAACCACTTGCATCTAAAGAGTATCAATTTCTTAAATGGCCAACCTGTATATTCTAGTTCTATTATTTCTTTGAGCACACCATAATAATCAATATCTCCATCTTGGTTGCCATCACCACCTTGAACCCACACCCCACTGTTGTTGCTATTTTTATTTTTAGAGCAATCCTCTGTATGAAACTTATAACCATTCACAACGTACTTAGATATTGTTGTGACCTCAACCCCAGGTCCCCAAGATATATCTTTGAAAACAATTTACACCATTATTTGGATCATTTACCTACATATTGTTAAAAAAATTCATAAGTTAGCATAACTTCCAATCATTGTTTACCTACATAGTGTTAGAATATTTTAAGGAGAAACTTACAAATTGTTTGAACAACGTATCAAATCTCGTATATACAGCATCATGGCCAAATTGACC